ATATTAGCACCAGGTGCTACAAACACTAGAGTAGATATTAGCACCAGGTGCTACAAATACAAGAGTGAATATTAGCACCAGGTGCTACAAACACTAGAGTAGATATTAGCACCAGGTGCTACAAATACAAGAGTGAATATTAGCACCAGGTGCTATAATACAAGAGTAAATGACACTTCCGGGAACCCTCCATTTATAGAGTGGTTTGTCCTATTCACACTGCAAAATTTTAAACCTTTGTTTGATTGTCGTTAACAGAGCTATTCTTAATTTTATGGCTGAAAATTAGGGACGGTTTTCAAAGATCTTCGAGACCTCCCGCTCTCACTAATATTTTGCATAACTTAATGCTTCTTTATTTTTTTTTTATTTTACAAACATTTTCAATCTTTTTCATTAATTTAATTTACAAGTCTTTAAACAAGAAATTGTAAAATCTACGAATTAAAACCACTAAAATCTAAATAAAAGTTTTTTCTAAGGAGCTATCGGCAACATCGAGAACTTTCATATTATTCAAGCCTGAAAATTAAATACGGTGAGTTAATGTCATAAGCCTTCTATGTTTCAATCTGCTGAAGAATCCTGTACTATTTAGTAAAGGATGGATGAGGTTTGTTAGACTTAGCCGTAAAAACATCCAGAAGTAATTCTGCGCCTATACATACATTTTTCGAAATGTGTAATCTGTAATCAATATTTTGAATGACTCTGTTTATCCAGACTGCAAGTTTTAAAATTGTGAATATCGAGATCAAGGCTTGATTTAATCTTCGCGTCAATCTTAAGATTACTTTAATCATTAATTTTTATCTAGAAACGTGTACAAAATTTAACCAACGTTTGGAGAAACCCGAACAGCTAATCAGAAGCCGAGAATTTTGGCACGTGATCAATGAGAGAACTCTCATTGGTTGGAACAATGTAGTGATATCCAAAAAGAGAAAAAAGAGCAAATTAAGCAGATATCAAAAGTGTCCACAGTGGATATTCAGATAAAGTGATCAGGATTAAAGTTATCAAATTCTACAGTTTTCCGCTGATATTATATTAAGAAAGATAGATATTCATGCAAGGCAGCCAAACTATTTTAGGACTTAATTTTCAGCTATAAAAATTGGAATATCTTCGTCATTCTAGAGGAGAAAAAGATATAGTATACAAAGTGTGATATGGTTGATCAGACATCCCTCTCTATAAATGACAGGTCACTCATTTAGAATTGTGTAAAAAATAAAATTAAATATTTACTTTAATCATTAATTACCTCAAATATTAGAACAAAAGCAAATTTTGCCATAACAATATAATAATATTTGTTGTCAAGATCAAACTCTGGTCCTTTACTACGCATAGCCTATATACATTCACAATTCAATTAGAAGAGAAGAAGAGAAGATTAAAATATTAGAAGATTAGAAGAAGATTAGAAGATTAGAAGATCAGAAAATTAGAAGATTAGAAGATTAGAAGATTAGAAGATTAGAAGATTAGAAGATTAGAAGATTAGAAGATCAGAAGATTCGAGGATTAGATGACTAGAAGATTTAAAGATTAAAAGATTAGAAGATTAGAATATCAAAAGATTAGAAGATTAGAAGATTAGAATATCAAAAGATCAAAAGACTAGAAGATTAGAAGATTAGAAGATTAAAATATTAGAAGATTAGAAGATCAGCAGATCAGAAGATTAGAAGACTAGAAGACTTGAAGATTAGAAGATTGTAAGATTGTAAGATTAGAAGATTAGAAGATAAGAAGATTAGAAGATTAGAAGATTAGAAGACTAGAATATTAGAAGATTGTAAGATTAGAAGATTCTTACCAAGAAATAGCAAGTAAAATTGTTGGCATTAGGACTGGTTCTCATTTGTTGTGGACCAGGCCAGGAAGGATCCAGAGGGTCCAGGTCCCAGAATGAGGTGTTGAACGCTTTAATTATTGATTACTAAAGGGACTGTTAACATCATTTTGTGTGAATGGTTAAACCAAGTTGCCGAGGATAATATTGTCAATTTTCTGTTAGGAGATAAATTCTGTCAATTTCTTTCTTGTAATTGCTGCTACTTGTATAGCTAGCAATCTTTAGATACTATAAGAAAATATCCTCGTTTTTTTATAAAAGTTAAATTTTGGGGTCACTTGAAATTATATTTACACCCTCTGTAGATTGCACAATGTATCTAATTTATGTACAGGGTGTCTCAAATTAGACTGCGTCATTGGGTCAAAAATACGATTTGGGGGAAAAATCAGAAAATTTAAGAAGAATGAATCATTTTGAAAAATTTGATAAGACTAATAAAAATTATTTTTTGTAGAAAATGCTAGATTTTTCGAGTATTATTTGCATGTTTTGGCGTTAAAGATCGGAGATAATCTACTATGATATGGGACGCTCTGTATGTACACTTTTAAATATTAGTAACTTAACTTATGTACTTATAGGTTGTTTGGGACTGACTCTTCAAAATGATATTTGGTAGATTTAGGGAATAAAAATTAAAAAAAACATTCAGCAAACAATTTTTACTTTTTTTTATTAATCTTATTTTTATCATGATCATTATTATTATTAATAACAATGTTATTATTATTGAAAAATACCGGTTAGCTGGAACTCTGTAAATCCTTTCAGAGATCCATCTGGAGAGTAGCCTCCGTGTATATAAACCATACGAGGGATAAAACTACTTGTCAGAGCAATCACAAGTGCCTGAACACAGATATTAGTTTATCATATAAGAGGTTTGGGAAAGGACTGCTTTCCCTCCCAGATCAGAGTCATCTAGCGGCCATAAAATACCCGCAAAACATATCTGGATTGAACAACTAGTTGGAGTTAAACTGTGCAAAAAATCGTGCCATAATGACAAAGAATAAACAAAAATTAAATGGTAGTTGTAAAAAAATTGTCTTTTAGTTTTAGTTTTTCATTTTGTTGACATAGGTAGGTCGTATTTAATTTTTGAAGATAACCTTCAAACCGCAAGGATACACATTAACATGGAAACAAATTGAAAAGCTGCCCAGGTAACAATTTTGCGGAAAATCCACGTAAATNGTCAAAATATCTAAAAAATCCTTTAGCATTAAAAACAACGTTGCATATCACGTATAGAAGTGTACAATGGTGAATATAAATTTCAAAATGTACAGGGTGTCCCAATAAACATTGGAATTTGAGTGACAGTAACGATATTGTTTTTTAGATAATTTTTTATTTAGTATAGTTGATGGCCTGCTGAGAAAACTGCAGTCCTTGGGATTTTTGTCTGATAGAGTTAAGCATTATTTTATGTTTTGAATCCTCACGGTTGCACTCGGTACAAAAAAATAAACTTGTTTGTTATCACTTTCCCTCTCAGGTAATAACAACACTAATATCTTAACAAAGACGATCTCGAATTTGTCACTCATTTCCCAAGTTAGTTGGAACCCCCGGTATAACTTACATTGCAAATAATTGACAAGTAGGAAATAGTTTTAAGAATTCCAATCCAGGCTCCAATATCCTGGGCTTTTTGAGCCAAAGGTCGTCTTACTTGCACCAGCAGTTTGTTGGCATCCAATCTAATCTATAACCAGAGCAATTGTGTTATCATGAGGGACAAGATTTGTTTAGCCGTTTTTTTTAAACCAAAACCAAAAATCTATTAAATTCAAGTTCCATAAAAATGTGCAACTTTTTATGAAAATCCTCGAAATATAAAAATAAACCTTCTTTACTAGTTTAAAAACTCATTCAGGCCTGTACTTTTTGTGCAGTCAACGTCTTGCAAAGTGGAGAAATATAACATACATATTCCTACCTCTAAAATATTGTTGATTAAGGCAAATAGTGGAGCAAGGGGGAACGCAGATACAAACAATGTAACAAATCCGTACTGCAAAACCATTTCAAGATATTCATCAAACAGATCCAAACTTGTCCAGGCCTAGCAAATAATGAAAATAACTGGCGGGTTGTTTGGTAATCAATTTTACGCCTGAAAATTAGGATATCTACTTCATACTTGATCAGACAAAGATCTTAAAGGTATTGTTCTGAATCAAACAGGACAATATAGGAATTGTGGGAATTAGATTGCAATCATGTGCTCAGCTACTATTTAACCGGCCTTCTCTATATCTGTACCTGGAGATTGTAATTATGTTAATCCTTCTCTATATNGTAATCATGTTTATCCTTCTCTATATCTGTACCTGGAGATTGTAATCATGTTTATCCTTCTCTATATCTATACCTGGAGATTGTAATCATGTTTATCCTTCTCTATATCTGTACCTGGAGATTGTAATCATGTTTATCCTTCTCTCTATCTATACCTGGAGATTGTAATCATGTTTATCCTTCTCTCTATCTATACCTGGAGATTGTAATCATGTTTATCCTTCTCTATATCTGTACCTGGAGATTGTAATCATGTTTATCCTTCTCTTTATCTGTACCTGGAGATTGTAATCATGTTTATCCTTCTCTATATCTGTAGCTGGAGATTGTAA